ATAATAAATATAATAATTATAACAAAAAAATACTAAAAACTCTTCTCTTAACGTAAATAAATTGTTTAGCAATAAAGTGTTAATCGAAATCGTTATAGAAAACATTTTTCATGACTTCTGTGCGTATCCTGATATCACAACAGCTTTTGTACGAATGAACATATCGGGGAACGCAACAAAGACGGGAGAAGAGAACACGATGAACAGGAGGAGGCGGTGCGACGGTAGGCACGTCCGCTAATTGGATAATTACGGAGTGCGCCGCGTTTGTTTTATAATTGGGCGAAACCGGGGAACCGTCGTTGCCTCGACGTGCCAAACAACAAAACGGCCGGAGTCACGCTCTACGTGACAAACTACCCTCGGAGCTAATCCAGGAGCCGAGGGTTCGCATCCCTCCGACTCCCTAAGCCCATCCCACCCCCATCGACTCGTGCTTTTGAGCCCTCCGCGCCAGCCGACGTCAACCACTCTTCGACTCGCCGCCGATTCATCGTTTGTCCACCTACCAACGGTTCACCACCGCCCATCTTCGTGACACGACGTGGGGCAACTTGTCTCCTTTCTCTCCAATTTTTATGAAGAGATAGAATATAATTTAAATTCAGATCATTCCTTTAGGTATCATTCATTTTAAGAAGACATCTTTCTACAAAGAAAAATAAAATTTTTTTACGTTAGATGAATTTGTTATAAATCTCCCCCTTCTTTCTAGTTACGTGCAGAGATAAAGTAAAATATAATTTAGATCTAAATCATCTAAGAAAAATTTGTCTATGTTAGTCAAAAGAGGACAAACTGAAAAGTTTGTTTCTATCTAATTGATAAAAAAATAAGATTAACGACCATCCATAATTCGATATAAATAATCTTATTAGCGATAATTTTTTAAACTGTAATTAACTGTAAATAAAAAGTAAAATAAGAAATGCGCCCTGAGATACGATAAGAAAAAAAATTTCTCTTAATGTCATCGAACCTGAAGAAGTCGCGTGCGGGCGCTTTAATTCGACTCTTCTAATCTCGGTATTGTCAGAAGAACAAGGGGCAAAACAAGTAGTAGGAGAAACTGGTCCCAGTTAGAAAACGATTGACTCACTGACTGACTGATTACGAAACGCTCTTTCGTTAGGGTCGCAAGCCCTTCCCGACCCTTCAATTCAATCCCTTCCTCGCTTGGCGTTTCGATCTCAGCGTAAACACGTCTCGTGCATCACCTAGCTATGTCAAAAGTTCTAGAAATTTATGCGCAATAAGCATGAAAAAAATAATTGGCGCAGAACCGCTTCGGGAGAAAGGCATTAACGATGAAAAATAATCACCTCTAATATAATATAGTGGAATAACACAGTGGAATACTTGTTCATTAATTTTTACAATTTCATTCATATTTCAGAATTTTAATAATATTAACATAAATTTTAATTAAATATATGAGAAGCGCCAATTTGCTTCTCACATTTAATTGATTTATTTATATAAACTATTCGATTTCTAATCTTGATTATTCAATATAAATTTTTCTTATGCATAATTTTGTGCTTTAATTTCAATAAAATCAGAGACTGATATCAATAATTACTTTGATAAGAAAATCGCTTCGAGTTCTTTCCTTTTTTTCATCTTTAACATCATAATTCTACATCTCTGGTATTAACTAGCTTCTAACGCGAGAGGCATGCGTATAATAATAATATGACTTACCATGAAGTTCCATATACAAATTCGTCGGTGGAGGAACATTCGCATACGCAGTTGATCTGTTATTACGATTCACATGATGACTGTAAGAAAACATTTTGT